CATCAATTATACAGGTGAAACTCGAAAAATTAGAATATCGTGCAAAAGTTAATTTATTTCAGTAATGCAACTTAAAAGGTGAAACTAATATATGAGATAGACTCATTACATGCAAAGCAAGATAGTTCAAGCCGTGATTTGTCATAATTGTGATGATTATGGCTTACAGCTCATGAAAACCCCAAATCCACAATCTCAGAAAATTAGAATATTGTGAAAAGGTGCAATATTCTCGGCTCAAAGTGTCCCACTCTAATCAGCTAATTAAGCCATAACACCTGCAAAGGGTTCCTGAGCCTTTAAATGGTCTCTCAGTCTGGTTCAGTAGGAATCATAATCATGGGAAAGACTGTTGACCTGACAGTTGTGCAGAAAACCATCATTGACACCCTCCATAAGGAGGGAAAGCCTCAAAAGGTAATTGCAAAAGAAGTTGGATGTTCCCAAAGTGCTGTATCAAAGCACATTAATAGAAAGTTATGTGGAAGGGAAAAGTGTGGAAGAAAAAGGTGCACAAGCAGCAGGGATGACCACAGCCTGGAGAGGATTGTCAGGAAAAGGCAATTCAAATGTGTTGGGGACTTTCACAAGGAGTGACTGAGGCTGGAGTCAGTGCATCAAGAGCCACTACACACAGACGGATCCTGGACATGGGCTTCAAATGTCGTATTCCTCTTGTCAAGCCGCTCCTGAACAACAAACAACGTCAGAAGCGTCTTACCTGGGCTAAAGAAAAACAGACCTGGTCTGTTGCTCTGTGGTCCAAAGTCCTCTTTTCTGATGAGAGCAACTTTTGCATCTCATTTGGAAACCAAGGACCCAGAGTATGGAGGAAGAATGGAGAGGCACACACTGCAAGATTCTTGAAGTCCAGTGTGAAGTTTCCACAGTCTGTGTTGATTTGGGGAGCCATGTCATCTGCTGGTGTTGGTCCACTGTGCTTCATTAAGTCCAGTGTCAACGCAGCCGTCTACCAGGAGATTTTGGAGCACTTCATGCTTCCTTCCGCAGACGAGCTTTATGGGGATGCTGACTTCATTTTCCAGCAGGACTTGGCACCTGCCCACACTGCCAAAAGCACCAAAACCTGGTTCAATGACTGTGGATTACTGTGCTTGATTGACCAGCAAACACGCCTGACCTGGGGCATTGCCAAGAGAAAGATGAGAGACATGAGACCGAACAAGGCAGAGTTGAAGGCCGCTATTGAAGCATCCTGGTCTTCCATAACACCTCAGCAGTGCCACAGGCTGATAGCTTCCATGCCACGCCGCATTGAGGCAGTAATTGCTGCAAAAGGGGCCCAAACCAAGTACCGAGTACATATGCATGCTTATACTTTTCAGAGGTCTGATATTGTTCTATGTACAATCCTTGTTTTATTGATTGCATGTAATATTCTAATTTTCTGAGACTGTGGATTTGGGGTTTTCATGAGCTGTAAGCCATAATTATCACGATTATGACAAATCACGGCTTGAACTATCTTGCTTTGCATGTAATGAATCTATCTCATACATTAGTTTCACCTTTTAAGTTGCATTACTGAAATAAATGAACTTTTGTACAATATTCAAATTTTTTGAGTTTCACCTGTATATACATCTTTAAATAATAATAATTAGTTTAATACAAATTAAATACAAAACGATTTTTTTAAGGGTTAGGGGGTTAAGGTTAGGGGTTAATTATTATTTATTTATTATTACATAGTATTTATTTAGGATTATTTTTATTTACTTGTGTATTTCTTTAACATTTATTTATTAATATTATCACCCTAACAAAAAATAAATAAATAATTGATAAAATAAATAAATTAATGAATTATAAAACAATAAATTATTATTAATAATAATATTAATAATAATAATAATAATAAGAAGAAGAAGAAGAAGACGAAATAAAAGCTGATGGAAAGGCTGAAGCAGAAAAACCTAGCAACAAATGATGCAACAGATGCTATTTTTCTCTATTGGCTAATAAAAGTTCATAAATAACTAAAAACGCGCAAAATTTGATGTAAAATATGTGCTGAAAAATGCTATGCTCAGATGTGAATGAAGCCTATCAGATATAATCTTATACTGTATGTACTTAACCCCTTGAGCTCTGGAAAGTTTTATCCCCTTTATGACCAGGCCATTTTATACTGTTCAGCGCCGCGCTATATTAGCTGGGTACTGTGTTGCAAGACCACACAATTGCCAAATTCAATTTTACACCATTTTTTTTCACATAAAATAGAGCTTTCTTTTGGTGGTATTTGATCATAACTGGGCTTTTTATTTTTTATTATATAAACAATAAAAGACTGAAAATTTTTTTGAAAAAATATATTTTCTACTTTCTGTTATAAAATATATCTATTTAAGTCAAATTTCTTCATAAATTTAGGCCAAAATGTATTCTGCTACATGTCTTTGGTAATAAAAATCCCAATAAGCATATATTAATTGGTTTGTGTGAAAATTATACCAATTGACAAACCATGGTATGTACATTCGAAAATTGAACAATCCTGATGTATTGACAGCCTGTCTCATTTCTTGAGGCTCTAAAATGCCAGGATAGGACATTTTGGAAAGTAGACAGTTTGAGGTATTTAGTAAGAGGCATGACGATTTCTATGAAGTTGTAATTTTTTTTCCCAATTTTTAAAAAAATTAAGAAATTAAACACAATTAGTTTTTTTCACATTTTTGTAAACATACTGTCACCAGTGCAGCTCAGTGTCGTAGTGTGACTGGTGTGGCAGTGATAAAGGACACTGATGACAATATGTAAATCATTTTTTATTCAATTTTGAAAACATTTAAAAAAAAAAATTGTAATTTTTTTTTACAACCCTTTTATCAGAGCAGTTCAGTGGTACTGTACAATTCTGGGGAGGGTGATCTTTTTTTTTTTTTTTTTTTTTTTTAACTGTTATTGCTTATACAATGAAGATCAATGTATAAGCGATAACTTTAGCTGTCATGAATGAGTTCAGCTTCCTTTTGTGATCTGTGATTGACTAAGCTAATCAGATGGTACAGGTAGCAAAGGTAGCATGTGATTGCTGTGGGCCAATCACAGATTACAATAGTAAGCAAGCTGTTCATGAATGGCGAGCCATTCCTGACAGGTTGTTTTACATTGTTATCATGTGATTGTCATGACCAATCATATTGATCACATGATACCCGGTTACCGGTAACAGCAGTCACAGGAGAGCCACGCTGTGCGCGCTCCTAAACAGGTGCAGGCTCAATCAAGTACATAAACGTGACAGAGCTTGCACATGCTGCTCTGCTGCAGCAAATCTACTGTGTGGAAGTGGCAAGTGGTTAAAGATATTGTACTGTACGTCTCATTATTATTGTGTTGATTAGAGAGCCATCTATTGGCAGTTGCAGCCTATTTCTTTCTAAAGAGAAAGAGGAAGGAGGTAGTGTTTGTAGTTGTTAAAAGAGAAGTATGGACATAAAAAAAAATATATTTATTCTCATCTAAACAGTTATATCCCCCACTGGCTCCGCAGTGAGAACTGAGCAAACAAACACTGCTGACCACTCAGTTCTCCCCTACTCTCAGAGCAGAGCACCGTGACTGTCAGTCCCTACCTCTCTGCTCTTCATCTTCAGCGATCACTGGAGCGCTGGGCTGTGGAGGGGATGGGAGGGGCTGGCTCAGGCTCTTGGCTGGCAGATCACCAAGAGGCTGAGTCAGGTGGCGTCACTCCAGCTCTGAAAAGATCCTGACATTTATTTATTTCAGTTATTTATATAGCGCCGGTAATTTACGTAGCGCTTTACATATACATTCACATCACTCCCTAACCCTCAAGGGGTGTACAATCTAAGGTCCCTAACTCACATTCATACATACACATACTAGGGCCAATTTAGACAGGATCCAATTCACCTACCAGCATGTCTTTGGAGTGTGGGAGGAAACCAGAGTACGCGGAGAAAACCCTTGCAGGCACAGGGAGAACATGCAAACTCAAGGCAGGTGGTGTCGTGGTTGGGATTCGAACTAACGACCCTAGTGCTGCCAGGCGGAACCACTTAGCTACTGTGCTGGCCTCTATATATAGTTGGAATCAACTCAGAACCTTGAATCATCAGCCTACAGCAGACTTTAGCCTACTGTCCGCTAAAAAACAGGAGTGCAGAAGGAACTGCCAAAAAAAGCTTTGCCTATATTTCTGCTTTAATAGTTTCACCCTGACATCACTGCAGACCCATGTTAGCTTCCAGAAACACATCAGTGAAGCTCTCTTATTTATCCCTCTGATACACACATGCTAAATATTTATTGTTTGTTAAAGTATATCTTGATTGAACTGCTTTGGATTTGCTGTGGGATTTAAAGGTGGGCTGTCTGCAAAATACATGTGTTTATTGTATGCATTTGAAAAGACATGTATAAAGGCATATTGTAACCTTAGTTTATGTGACTGTATTGCAGTTTTACAAAACTATTCACAGAAGTAAATTCAGTTTTGGAATGAAACATAACGCTGTTTGTCAGTTTTGTTACAGTTGCTAAAATAACTGTTAGCTAAGAATTGGTAGAACAGCATAGATGTATATAAAAATATTTAGACCTGCAGAATAGTCATGGAAATATTGTTAAGCTGATGCTGCTCAATTTGTCTAGGCATGAGTGGGTGTCTAGGTAGTTCTGCATGTAATACAGACAATCAAAGAATAAGGAAGGGCGATTATCAAAAAAGCAGTACAGGAAAATTGCGGTGGTATTCGACTTATTAAAACAGTGCAAATGTGTACTGAAAGTGGAACTCCTGTCAAAACGTTTTTCTAGTCTTGAGTAACATGGTAAAGGTTTAAATGGTCTGCAACATTTATATTGCTATCTGTGTTGCCATTTCACTGACTAATTCTCTATCTCTGCTCTGGGGATCATTGTAACCAGCAGGGGCGTAGGTAAGGGGGAGGTCGGGGGGGGGTCTGACCCCCCCCCACCGAGGAGAGTTGCCAATCATCCCTTATAGGGACAGTCTGTACCAGGGGCGGACTGACAACTCATGGGGCCCCTGGGCAATAGGGGATCATGGGGCCCCTGTGTCCTTGCCCAAACTCAAAAAAGCCTATGAAAAAGGTACCAGGGGCATCTAATGGGGCCTCCTATTGACCCCGGGCCCTCGGGCAGTGCCTGAGTTTCCAAATGGTCAGTCCGCCCCTGGTCTGTACAAAACAGTGGGCACAGTTTCAATATGGCCGCTAGTGCAGGGTGCAGTTCAGATATCAGCCAGAGTCAGAGCACTGACAGCCTATGTCCTGCAGCTGCCTCCACCTCCTCCTCCCTTCAGGCTGCTCCTCTCTCTGCCTAGGGGCCGTTGTGGTTTTCTCCTCCCAGTCTCCTTCACTGTGGCTGGCTCTTTTATTACAGGCGATCCCTGTAATATTATTATCCCTGTTTCTCACTATCCTAAGCTGTCTTCATCGCTCCCTCCCTCCCTGGCATCCTCCCCTCCACCTCAGCCACTGTCCCTGCCTGCTCCCTTTCATCCTCACACACTTCCATCCATCTCTGCCTGTCACACTGCATCTCTCTCTCTCATCTTTTGAAAGCCTAGCTCCCTTCTCCCAGCCAGTTTGTTTGCCAACATCCAGCATCTGATTTATAACATCTTCCCCGCAGCCAGCCAGAATACTATTGTTGATGACAGTTTCTGGACAATAATCCCTCCAGTTCACTTTCCCTCACTCCCCTTCCCTCCTAATCTGCTTGTTCTCTGAAGGCATTTCACCTTCACACAGGTGTGTGTCCCAGGATCCCCCCAACAGTGTCTACTTCCCAGTGGAGATCACACCCTCCCCCCTCCCGGACAGCCCATTTGCTTTTTATCATACTCTGGGTATTCCTTACCAGCTGACAGTATTCCCCGTGCCCATCCCTGACCATCCCTCTCCAGTCCCCTTGATTCCCATCTATTTCCTCTTCTTCTCTCCCCTTCCCTCATACTAATACAAACACCCCCCCCCCTTTTTTATCCCTATACAGATCAGTATCCCCTAGTTTCACTCCATTTCTTCTCCACCCATCCCTCCATCTTCTATCCACACCTCTTTTTCTCTTCACGTCCATGGTTCCCAGTCTCACCTCACCCCCCAATTTTTTGCAGGGGTTAGGAGGCAGAGAAATGCATGGTCATGCAACACTATACCCATATGAGATTTCTATCCTTTTTTCACATATATAGAGCTTTCTTTTGGTGGTATTTAATCACCACTATTTTAATTTTCCTAAATAAAAAAATACCAAAATAAAAATACAATTTTGTAAATAATCTCTTCATAAATTTAGGTCAAACTCTATTCTGCTACAGAAAAAAAAACCAAATCTGTGTATATTGTATACTCTGTAGGAAAGTCCACAAACTATGGTATATACCAGGGGTCTGCAACCTTTTAAGACATAAAGAGCCACTTGGACCTTGACGTTTCCGAAGGGAAAAAAAAGACTGGGAGCCGCAAAACCATTGCAACATTTAAAACAAATCCGACACTGCATATATTGTTTCTTACCTTAATGCAGTGGTGGGCAACCTTTTTTTTTCAACTGAGCCAAATCTCGCCAAAACCACGATTGAAATTTATTTTGAGAGCCACATTTTTAAAACTGAAAATACATCCCCCATATAGTAATTCATCCCCCATATAGTAATTCATCCCCCATATAGTAATTCATCCCCCATAGTAATTCATCCCCCATATAGTAATTCATCCCCCATAGTAATTCATCCCCCATATAGTAATTCATCCCCCATAGTAATTCATCCCCCCTATAGTAATTCATCCCCCATAGTAATTCATCCCCCATATTAATTCATCCCCCACATAGTAATTCATCCCCCCTATAGTAATTAATTCCCCATATTGTGTCAATTCACTTACCTTTGCTCCGCGCGTTCCTCTCGCCGTGTTCCCGCGCCGTTCCGGTCTTCAGGGCTACTGTGAGAGGAGAGGAGTTCGTCACGCTGCCCCGCCTACATCCTGGCTGCCCCGCCTACATCCTGACAGCCAATGTTTGCCACGCTCCGCGGGCCGGATTAAAAGGTCCGCCGGGCCGTAGTTTGCCCATTGCTGGGCTAGCTGCAGAGTTCTGACTTTTGGGGCGGCCGCCTGAGAGGAGGGAGGGGAGCGGCGCGCCGGCACACAGAAGAGCGTGTAAGGAGGCCGCATGTGGCTCGCGAGCCGCGGCTGCCTGTCACCTGGTGGGGGCAGTGTGCTCCGCAGCAAAGGGGAAAAAGAGCCGCATGCGGCTCTGGAGCCGCAGGTTGCCGACACCCGGTATATACAGTCAAGGAAATAAGATCCCCTGCTGATTTTGAATGTTTGCCTAATCACAAAGAAATCAGTCTAAAAATCGAATGGTAGGTATATTGTAACAATGAGAAACAGAATAGCAACAAAAAATTCAAAAGAACTGCATATCTAACAAATTATGCACTGATTTGCATGTTCATGAGGGAAATAAGTATTTGATCCCCTATCATTCAGCTGGATTTCTGGCTACCAGGTGTCTTTCATGCAGGTAACAAGCTGAGATTAGAAGCAGTCTCTTAAAGGGAGTTCTGCTATTCTCATTTTGTTACATGTATAAAAGACACCTGTCCACAGGAGCAATTAAACAATCAGATTCCAAACTCTTCACCATGGCAAAGACCAAAGAACTGTCCAAGGATTCAGGGACAAGATTGTAGACCTACACAAGGCTAGACTGGGCTACCAAACTATCGCCAAGCAGCTTGGCGAGAAGGTGACAACAGATGGTGCAATCATTCGCAAATGGAAGAAACACAAAACAACTATCAGTCTCCCTAGGTCTGGTGCACCATGCAAGATCTCACCTCGTGGAGTATCAATGATCATGAGAACAGTGAGGATTCATCCCAGAACTACACGTGAGGATCTTGTCAATGATCTCCAGGCAGCTGGGACCACAGTCTCCAAGAAAACAATTGGTAACACACTACGTCGACAAGGATTAAAATCCTGCAGTGCCCGCAAGGTCCCTCTGCTGAAGAAAGCAGGTCTGAAGTTTGCCACTGAACATCTGAATGATGCAGAGGAGGACTGGTAGAAAGTGCTGTGGTCAGATGAGATCAAAATCAAGGTCTTTGGCATCAACTCAACTCGCCATGTTTGGAGGAGGAGGAGGAATGCTGCCTATGACCCCAAGAACACCATCCCAACCGTCAAACATTCTGCTTTGGGGGTGTTTTTTCTGCTAAGGGGACAGGACAACTGCATCGCATCAATGGGACGATGGACGGGGCAATATATTGTCAAATGTTGGGTGAGAAACTTCTTCCCTCAGCCAGGGCATTGAAAATGGGTTGTGGATGGGTGTTTCAGCATGACAATGACAAACACATGGCCAAGGCAACAAAGGAGTTGCTTAAGAAGAAGCACATTAAGGTCCAGGAGTGGCCTAGTCAGTCTCCAGACCTTAATCCGATTGAAAATCTGTGGAGGGAGCTGAAAGTTCGAGTTGCCAAACGTCAGCCACCACACCTTAATGACTTTGAGAGGATCTGCCAAAAGGAGTGGGCCAAAATCCCTCCTGACATGTGTGCAAACCTGGTGGCCAACTACAGGAAACATCTGACCTCTGTGATTACCAACAAGGGATTTGCCACCAAGTACTAAGTCATGTTTTGTGAAGGGGATCAAATACTTATTTCCCTGGTTCCTGGACATGGCTTCAAATGTCGTATTCCTCTTGTCAAGCCGCTCCTGAACAACAAACAACGTCAGAAGCGTCTTACCTGGGCTAAAGAAAAACAGACCTGGTCTGTTGCTCTGTGGTCCAAAGTCCTCTTTTCTGATGAGAGCAACTTTTGCATCTCATTTGGAAACCAAGGACCCAGAGTATGGAGGAAGAATGGAGAGGCACACACTGCAAGATGCTTGAAGTCCAGTGTGAAGTTTCCACAGTCTGTGTTGATTTGGGGAGCCATGTCATCTGCTGGTGTTGGTCCACTGTGCTTCATTAAGTCCAGGGTCAACGCAGCCGTATACCAGGAGATTTTGGAGCACTTCATGCTTCCTTCCGCAGACGAGAGCTTTATGGGGATGCTGACTTCATTTTCCAGCAGGACTTGGCACCTGCCCCACACTGCCAAAAGCACCAAAACCTGGTTCAATGACTGTGGGATTACTGTGCTTGATTGACCAGCAAACACGCCTGACCTGGGGCATTGCCAAGAGAAAGATGAGAGACATGTGACCGAACAAGGCAGAAGAGCTGAAGGCCGCTATTGAAGCATCCTGGTCTTCCATAACACCTCAGCAGTGCCACAGGCTGATAGCTTCCATGCCACGCCGCATTGAGGCAGTAATTGCTGCAAAAGGGGCCCAAACCAAGTACTGAGTACATATGCATGCTTATACTTTTCAGAGGTCTGATATTGTTCTATGTACAATCCTTGTTTTATTGATTGCATGTAATATTCTAATTTTCTGAGACTGTGGATTTGGGGTTTTCATGAGCTGTAAGCCATAATCATCACAATTATGACAAATCACGGCTTGAACTATCTTGCTTTGCATGTAATGAATCTATCTCATACATTAGTTTCACCTTTTAAGTTGCATTACTGAAATAAATGAACTTTTGTACGATATTCTAATTTTTCGAGTTTCACCTGTATATACATCTTTAAATAATAATAATTTGTTTAATACAAATTAAACACAAAACAATTTTTTTTTAAGGGTTAGGGGGTTAAGGTTAGGGGTTAATTATTTATTTATTATTACATAGTATTTATTTAGGATTATTTTTATTTACTTGTGTATTTCTTTAACATTTATTTATTAATATTATCACCCTAACAAAAAATAAATAAATAATTGAAAAAATAAATAAATTAATGAATTATAAAATAATAAAAAATTTATTATTAGTAATAAATATTAATAATAATAATAAGAAGAAGACGAAATAAAAGCTGATGGAAAGGCTGAAGCAGAAAAACCTAGCAACAAATGATGCAACAGATGCTATTTTTCTCTATTGGCTAATAAAAGTTCATAAATAACTAAAAACGCGCAAAATTTGATGTAAAATATGTGCTGAAAAATGCTATG